AACACTAATTTTAAGCATAAGGAGAGACATCGTCTAACATGGCGACCCCCTACACCAAACCAACGATGAACTCAAATAGACCATATTGCCATCAGTCATCGTTGGAAAGGGTCGGTAGAAGATTGTCGCTCATTCTGGAGTACCTGCTTGGACTCTGACCACGCCCTAATACGGGCACGCATCTGCTTGCGCCTCACTGCATGCAAAATAGCCTCAGTAAAAAGACCCATTAGAACTGAGTTGAGTAACGAGAAAACCAAAAGTAGGTTCCAGGAACAACTGAGGTCACACTTAGGTAGTTCTAAAGACGAGGCTGACCCAGATATTGCTTGGAAAGCTATACAAACAGCTGTGGAAACAGCAGTGACATCTATTAGTGACTTAAACCACAGAGTTACAAAGAACCAGTGGATTTCTTCAAGGTCTATCACACTGATGGATTCTCGTAAACTCGTCCCATCAGGTTCCGAACATGATGAAGAGCGACAACAAATCAGATCCAGGTTAAGAAAAAGTCTAAGGAACGACCGTGAGCAGCGGTGGGTAACGAAAGCAAAAGAGATGGAAAAGGCGGCGACTATAGGGAACACAAGACAGCTTTACAGACTAATAAAAGAAACTGGAATTAATAAGTCAAATGTCAGTGAGATTATTTCGGAAAAAGACGATACTCTCATCTGCTCCCAGTCCAGACGTTTAGAACGATGGGCGGAACATTTCAGAGAACAGTTCACCTGGCCTTCAGCTACTCTACAACTACCCTCCATTCCCAGACAATGTGAATGGAACATTGAAGTAGGTCCCCCAACTCTTGCTGAAGTTGAGAAGGCTATAGTTAGTCTGAAACGAGGAAGGGCAGCTGGTCCAGATGGATTGGCTCCAAAAGTCTTAAAGGATGGTGGTCCAATTTTAGCGATTAGGTTGACTAATATTTTAGCTAAGATCTGGGAGTTAGACGTTATTCCATCTGACTGGTCACAATCACTTATCGTCCCAATATATAAGAAAGGGTCAAAATCATCCTGTGACAACCATAGAGGGATTAGTTTAACTAATATAGTATCTAAAATACTAGCCTCAATAATTATTGGGCGCCTAACGAAAACTCGTGAACTGTAAATACGAGAAAATGAGGCTGGCTCCAAACCTGGTCGTGGCTGCATCGACTACTTATTCACCATTCGTCAGGTTCTAGAACACAGGCATACTTATCGACGTCCGACAATGTTGGTCTTTCTTAACTTAAAAGCAGCATGTGATTCTGTAGACTGAGAGGGTCTGTGGCAGTGCCTGTCATTGAAAGGCGTACCCCAGAAGTACATAAACCTTGTAAAGGCTCTTTACTCGAACACTACTAGTCGAGTCAGGGCTTATGGAGAACTGTAATCTACTTTTGCAATCTCAAGTGGTGTTCGTCAAGGCTGTCCACTTTCTCCATTTTTGTTTAACTTCATCATAGACCTATTGATAGAAATAACATTCTCGTCGACTGAATTCTTGGGTATTGATCTCGTACAAGGAGGTCCACTTATCGACTTAGAATATGCAGATGATATGGTCCTGTTTGGTGAAGACGCTGATAAAATGCAGAGTCTTCTGGTAGCACTAAGCAACAATGCCAGAATGTTTGGAATGCGCTTCTCTCCCTCGAAATGCAAGTTGTTGCTTCAGGACTGGTCTGCGTCAACACCTGAACTAAGGATGGAGAGTGAAGTAGTCGAATGCGTTGACAACTTCACTTATCTTGGAAGTCTGATCAGCTCTAATGGGTTGGTATCGGACGAAATCTCAGCACGGATTCGAAAAGCTCGTTTCGTTTTTGCCAACTTACGTCACCTATGGCGAAGGCGAGATATCCGTCTATCAATAAAAGGACGAGTATACTGCGCGGCAGTTCATTCTGTTTTACTTTACGGCAGCGAAACATGGCCTTTAAGAGTAGAAGACACTCGTAAGCTACTAGTATTTGACCACAGATGCCCTAAAAATATTGTTCGCATCTGCTGGCATCACCAAGTAAGTAATAGTGAGGTTAGACGCAGGGTATTCGAGAATGATGGTAAATCAGTTGGTGAGGTTGTGAATCTTCATCGACTGAGATGGTCGGGCCACGTGTTACGTATGCCCGAACACCGATTACCACGACGTGCAATGCTAACCGTTGTTCGGGATGGTTGGAAGAAAGTTAGGGGCGGCCAAACCAAAATGTGGCATCAGTGCTTGAAGTCACTAACTTCTAGTCTGAGCCATGTTGGTAGATGCAGACTACTTGGTTGGGGTCCGCGTGACTTTCGTAACCAATGGTTGGAGACTCTTGGTGACATGGCTCAGAATCGGTCACAATGGCGTAGGTGTATACACTCTCTATCTTCCCTTAAACTAAGAGATTAAAATTGCTTCATTTCTTTCTTTCTACGAACTAATTCTTTCTTTGTGTACTATATCCTTATTGCAATCTTTCTTTTATATATTACCACCTCTGAATTAACCACTTATATGAATCCGGTGTCCATCTTGTTGTGTCAATGAGGTATGGCAACTTGGACTGATGCATTTATGTGCCTGATCCTATGTTGTAGCTAACTGACTGACTGAAGGCTTCTTCCTTAACTGAAAGATTTCTTCCGGTTGTACCTTTCCGTTCCCCCATTATTACCATTATTATTATACTATCTTACACCAATCTCTTCGTTATTGTTCTCTTTTTTTTACTCTCCTTACCTTTTTCTTTCCTTGTCTTTAAATTCACATTGTTTTGTGTGGCGCATATTTATTTGGCGCACACTTGTATCAATATTTATGTGTTCAAATATATGATAAATAAATAAATAATAAATTACCATTAAATTGTCTGAGAAAATCGAAATCGCTGTGATTAAAATCTATTTCGAACAAGTAAGAACTTTTCACAGAACCAAATGTTTTATTATTAACTGAAGCCTTAGAAACGACAGTGAAAAAAGGCTGCAAAAATGAGAATATTACGTCACACTATTTTCAGTCAGTCAGTCAGTCAGTAACAACGTAGAACTTCGTACGTACGTACATCAGTTCGAGTTGCCATACCACATTAGCACAGAGATGCAGTGGTCGATTCAAATCCCGTAGTGGTAGAGGTAATAAGAGTATAAGCAGTAATCGGGAAGATTAGTGTTTGGAGATGTTATTCAAAGAGTATAATACAGTGAAATAAATTTGGGAAGAGAAAAAAAGAGACAAGGAGGAATAAGGAGATCAAAATTTGGGAGAACACAAAGAGTGGATGCATCTGCGCCATTGCAAACGATTTTGAGCCATGTCATTCAGGGTCTCTAATCATCGGTTGCTATCATCTCGTGCTCCCCAACCAGGTAGTCTACACCTACCAACATGACTCAGTCCACTTGTCAGTGACTTCATGGACTTGTGTCATGTTTTGGTCTGGCCGCCCCTAGCTTTCTTCCAACCTACTCCTATACCACTGAACATAGCACGTCGAGGCAGTCGGTCGTTGGGCATACGTAACACGTGTCCAAGCCATCTCAACTGATGAAGTTTCACTACTTCACCAATTGATTTGCCATCCTTACCTAGTACCCGTTTCCTAACAACTGCATTACTTACTCGATGGTCCCATGATATACGAGCAATGTTTCGAAGACACCTATGATCGAATACTAGTAACCTACGAATATCCTCTGCTCTTACCGGCCATGTTTCACTGCCATAAAGTAGGACGAAACGAATTGCTGCGCAGTAAACCCGTCCTTTGGTTGATAGACGGATATCTCGCCTACGCCATAAATGACGCAAGTTGGTAAAAGCTAGTCGAGCCTTCTGTATCCGTGCTGAGATTTCGTCACACACCAGACCACAAGGGCTGATGAGACTTCCAAGATAAGTGAAGCGATCGACACGCTCAATTACTTCACTCCCTATCATTAGTTCGGGTGTCAATGCAACCCAATCCTGAAGCAACATTTTGCATTTCGAGGGAGAGAATCGCATCCCGAACATGCCTGCATTGTTGCTTAGAGTGGTCAGAAGACTCTGCATTTTGTCAGCGTCTTCGCCAAATAGAACTATGTCATCTGCATATTCTAAGTCAACAAGTGAACCTCCCGGTAGAAGTTCAACCCCTGGAAATTTAGATGAGGAGAGTGTTATCTCTAAAAGTACGTCAATGATAAAGTTGAACAAGAACGGGAGAGTGGACAGCCCTGACGAACACCACTTGAGGTAATCAATTCTGATGACAGTTCATCATAAGCTCTCACTCTACCAGTTGTGTTCGAGTAGAGAGCCTTTATAAGATTAATGTACTTCTTTGGTACTCCTTTCAGTGACAAACACTGCCATAGAACCTTACGATCAACAGAGTCGAATGCCGCCTTAAGGTCGAGAAATACTACCATTGTGGGGCGTCTGAACGTGTGTCTGTGTTCTAGAACCTGACGTAGTGTGAATATCTGATCTATACAACCACGTCCAGGTCGAAAACCGGTCTGGTTTTCTCTAATCTGCTCTTCACGATGCATGGGATGAGAAGAGCTAAGGTATTCGTATACATATTAAAGATATGAAGATAAAGTTTTAAGTGAAGAGCATGAATAGGGATAGATTTCTACTCCTTTCAAAATATGGCACCTAAAGTCACTATTAATCTACCATGTTAATCTTGACGTCTGTGCATATAAAGGATACATTATGTTTTGGTTGTTTTATACTAATACGACTCCAAACATAATTCTTTGTATTCATGGATGCTTTCAAGTGGAATTTCTCATATGTAGTAACGATTAGTAGTTTGTTCCACAGATTAGTGGAAGAGCTGTACTCAAGAAAAGTTTAGGTATTTTATTTTACCCTCGAAACAACTTTGGAACACATAAATGTCTTCTGTTCGTAAATACTAATCATTAAGACTATTTTATTTGGATTTGCATAGGTCCTTATTCTTTGTCTGACAATCAAATAAGAATATTACAGAAGTAGGTGATAAGCTAAAAAATATTACTTACTTGCCAAGAGGACCATTCGCACATCTGTGGAATTGTTTTAATAGATATTTTGATGGTTCCCAATCTTTCGGAACCAAACTATCGGGTTTCCATTCATTGATCAGTTGATTTTTCTCTTCCACACTTAGATTGATTACATCATTAATACGATAACTGCGTTTAAACAACAACCATATGATACCAATAATTAGTAGCAATTCAAAATACAAATGATATGTAGGAGCCTTAAGTGCACTGTAAATTAGACGAGTCCAAGTATACTCAGACTGCGGTCCTAAACGTATAATTAGAGAAAATTATTTGTCTTACCGATTTGAGCAAGAAAGTGTGTGATAAATTTCATTACCATTATTTGTGTTTTTTATAGATCCATTTAGGTACCTTCCTGGAAAGTGCAAAGATAAGTTGTTAGTCCACAGCGTATAAGAAACGTGACGAACTAAAACTTAGACATAAAATGGAAGTAAGCATGATAACAAATAAGTTAGTCTAAATGCTTTTGACGAGTACGACCAATAAAATTGTAAATGACACACGTCCATACTGTCCGTTTTATAGCGTAAGATAACAACATTGATAAACTTTTTAAACTTTCCACTAGTTCATTTAGCTTTTTCAGGATAGACTATCACAGAAAAACCCAACTACCAATCCCATTTTGACTCCATATATTATAAGGGAAATCTAATATTCCTTAAAGTATTTAACTAGTCCTGTTAGTTATCCATTAGCAACAGAGTAATTAATTTGCTGAGATCTTACAAATGAAGAAATACACCTTTTAACAGTTGAGATCATGAGTCAATTGAAGCTAGACCACCATGAAAAACCTGGAAGCACTGGATGCCGTTTCGTCATATTGCGAGACTCCTCAGCAGTGCGCATCCACGACCTCGCCTCGCGAGATTCGAACCCAGGACCTGTCAGTCTCGCGCGCGAACGCTTAGCCTCTAAACCACTGAGCCGGCATCCAACGGTGTCAATGTCTAACCTTAACTAATCCACGAAATTTAGTGACACATCCACCATTATCATCAGTGAATTACTATCTCACAACAGACCTGGTTGAACTCCATTGGTCATGACTTCTCACTAGAACTCCAGGAAATACCTCTTGGAGTCAATCACTAGTGAGCATATGCTGATTGTTATGAGAAGGGATTTTGTGGATATTATGGTAATTTAAATAGTTGAGATCATGAGTCGATTGATATTAACATACTTTTTGTTGACTTATTTTCAGTACTAAGTTGAATATATGATAAGCTTCAACGTAGTGGATTCTAGTAGAGTTAAGAATTATGTAAAAATATGTATGGTTCTCCGTGAAATTATTAAAAAGGGAGATTTTCATACTGCAGATAGTTTGTATTTATAAAAGGGGAAGAGAAACGGGACCTCCCAAGCGTTGCTCGCGAATGTTGGGATAACCGGGAGAGAAATGATAAAATTTTAAAAAAGGCACTAAGCACATATGATAAACAGGTTGAGGAGATAATGAATCTTTATCCACTAAAGTGGCTGGGACATGTTACGCATTTTTAAACACCATCTACCCCAAGTGATAACAGCTGGTATAAAAGCAAGTTAGAAGAAAGCTATGAGCAGTCAAACGAAGATGTGAATATCAGTTTATGGAACCATTTACAGTTAGACTAAACCGAATCAGAATATGCGTACGGTCTGGTTGAGGTTTTTAAGCTTATCGTAACCAATTATTGGAGTTGGGTAACATAGCTCAGAACAGGTCGCAATGGTGTAGGTTAACTCACACTATCTTCTTTTAGATCCCGATTTCCGAAACCGTTTTATTTTTTACGGTAGCTATCCATACCTTCTCGAAGCACAGAACCCGTATGATTTTTCCTACTATCACTGATATTATTGCCACATATACTACTGTGGGATTTCACTCTGCTGAAGTAGCGTGGAAACTTGAGTCGACGCATACATGGTACACATTTTACGTTGCGTAAGACTGGTTGACTGACATCGACCTACAATTACATCATGTAATACAGTTCCACTAGGTTCTATTAGGAAAGAGTATTATTTAAACGTACTCTGTCACTCGTGACTGAAAATCTTTAGTATATAATAATCTTACATTTAGTTCTATACTCTTCTGCCGTACAATAATTATTCAGTGAGAGAATTAACTGAAGCGAATCGACATTTTTTGCATAGACGTAGTATTCTGTTGTTAGAAGTTCCCAGCGTTCAGAAAAGTCTTAGAGCTTTTGATTTCTCTTACACCTAAATGACCTTTCTAATCCGCTGTTTTCAGTCCTATGCATCCACGATACCAATATATAAAGATTGCTACGAAAAAATGACAGTAAAGTCCCTTGCTGATTCAAATACGTCCAAAAACCCACAATCAACTTTACGATAGAATCAACCAGTAAAGTCGTTTGCCTCAACACACCACAAATTTAACATACGTATTCAACAAAAGCTTCAACCAGCTGAGGACCCGATCCCCAGGATTAGCACATATGTTCCCGTTTTCTGTCGCTAACAGAACAAAGCTGAATGAAGGCGAAATTTGTTGATACATATATATCAATAGGCGCACGACATTACATACGACTTTTTACTGAATTTCAACGGACTAATAAAACTGATGCCTGCTTACTAAATGCAGATATACCAACTACAGAAGTGATTTAAGAGGTCTCGAGTTTAATGATAAGACCACGTAGCTTTTAGTAGTTGCTGACGGAGTAGCAAAGGTCTTTGGTTATATTTGACGGGACTCAAAAGAAACTGATCGGACTATTTCGGAGAACAGTAAGGTATAGGCGTAGTATTTACTATTCAACATACTTCAAGAGAAGTTCAAGAACGGAGGTTTATGTGACATCTACATAACCTCTTGCGTTCAAATTAAACATAAGGAAACTCGTCATAATCACCAAATGGTGCCTTTATGTGTTGATTAAAACGCTGTGAGGATGACCATAAAACAAGTGATTCTGGGAAGGCATATGATCTATGAATATATTACCGAAGCTTTACATCATATCTTCGCTCTTCTTCATTATATATTACGATATAACATATTTCGAGTAAATTGATACCATCATGATCGACTTTAAATGCAGGAAATTAAGTACCTATTTGAGGATGTGAATTTTTGGGAGGAAATAGTCCACTATCAGAGAGGATCTAATCTAAAGGACCTCTCTTTAAGATCACTTTTCCTGTTTTGTGTGAAAAGGTGATCTCCGTCTGATTATGAAATCACCCTTAAGTCTCCTTTATTTCATTATACAAACGCAGAATTTCGCTGTGTTACTGCTATGTTTATGAATACTTACTACTTATTTCTAAACTTAAAGTAGTTATAATTACGCGAAAACTTCCAACGATCAATCAAATTCTTCTGTTTACAGAGGTGCCAGGGTTATTTGCGCCACACCGAATCTTTGAATTATCAACAAATGCTCTTCAAATGGCAATTATGTAAATAACATGCTTAACAGCCTGAAATATGTGTTTTAATGAAGCCTGACGACTTTATTTACACACAATAAAAGTGTGAAGCCTTGTTAGGTATTTTACTTTGGGACAACGTCATATCAGAGCGTTCTCATGAACCCAGCTCTGGGTTCGAACGAGACCATAAAGGTTGAAGATGCCACAAGTATTCGGAGTTTGACAACGCTTTAACCAGTAATACCTTCTAATATGAACCGTACCCACCAAGTGAAATCAAAAGACAGAAACGAGGAGGTTCGAAGATATATTTGATGGACTATCAATATATCGAGGATCGTCTGATCTAACCTGGCTAGCGTTGCAGGGGTAACGAGTATGTGGATGTAGGCATTATCACAAGAAGAAAGAGACAGTGCGCTGAGTAAAAGAAATTTCTTATAGAAAGTACTAAGGTATGTGAATCTAAGATTCCAGTTCCGGATCCACAAGTCAACGCAAATCAAACTATGGGGAAGCGAAGTCCAAGTGGTGTAGAGGATGTGGTCAAGAGCAAAATAAGGCAAATGAGTGGCTCACAGTCACAACTAGGAAAACAAAAGTAAGGAAATAGAATGTGACGTCTGCGTTTGACTCTAAATCGGAGTCGGGTTTAAGGAAAGAGACGATTTCAGGAACTATAATTCTATAGCGTGTTAAGATGGACCTCGCTGAGAGGATGATCAGGAAAAAACGAAAGCCATGGCAAACGTTTTGGGGCAGTTTTCACTCAGGAACTTCTTTTAGACGAGGAACTTAGCCCAAACACGAAGTCAACAAGCTGTCTATTCACCGTGTACACAAGGCATGAGTGGATGAAAAACGGACGAACGGAGGTGGTTCAGGAAGAAGCTGAAAGTACAGGATTATGTGAAGTTTGAAAATATAGTACTGAAAACAGTATTATGATACACAAATGGCTGTCTCTATCTTATGTCAAAGCTAGTTGAGCCCATTTTTTGTAGACTTTATAGGGTCTTTGGCAGGTTTCGTTTTTAGCAAATTGTCTAGTTTGGCTTGTAACAGTATTACTCGGTAGGAAGTGAGATCGTTTCAGCGTTGTAAACACGGCTTATTGAGGTATTTCGCATAATAAATCAGCATCAAGACCATTTGCTCATGATATTCCACTAGACCGTAAGGAGCCGTAATAAAACAAAATGTTCTGCCCCACAGACATGGGTGGAACGAAGTTATCTCCTCACCATCATGTTCGCTGGTCATTAACACCACCCTCCCTCCTTTTGTGATGTTAGGCTCTCTTAAGTTTGTGGTGTGTATGCATATTGCTTTAATCTAAGCACCTTATTGAAATACACTGTCTCTAGTAGTTCCATGATACAGGCAAATCAGATATTTCGTATATCACACTGCTATGAAGATAACTAAGGTAAAAGTTAAAAAAAAAACAGGTTACATTATATGTGGTTTAAAAATGGTAAGGACTAATAGCAAGTCAAAGGATATGAAAGAGCATAAAATGGTAGAATTTTCATGGTAAGAAAAATAACACATTGAGTTGCCCACAAGAATTTAAGACAATTTGAGCTTCTTATGATCGGCCATAGTTGATCAGCATCCATATGATTAGTGAGTTATCTGTCTACTTGCAATAGAGAAAAAGGACATGACACTTAGGAAGAATAATGTATCTTTAACCATTGGAAAGATTCGGAATCTGAAAGTGAGGGTTAGGAGCGTAAAACAGTGATTAATAATCAGTGAATAATAAGAGAGGATAAACCATATATTCTGTATTTTAGTGGTATTAATGTTAATAACAATATGGCTCGTTATATTCTTGTTCGTCTAGACATTAGGCGGTCCATAATAAAGTGCCTCATTGATGGGCGGGAGTTCAGGGAATAGTTGAGGCTCATTAGAGTCTAGTAACAGGGTTATTAACCTTTTGAATTTGGTAAACTTTCACAGTTACGGATAGGTATTGGCGTATTAGAGTAACATGTTGCATGTACTGACATGCTCTGACTGACTTGTTAGTCAGTAACGGACTTTTCAGAGAACCAATATAGAACACATTGAAGGTGGTAACAAAATGATGTATCTAACATATAGAGCAACTGGTTTCAAAGAAAGCGTTATAACTAGTCGTTTAAATGCTTATTGTCTTGTCTTGTTTTACGGTAAGTACACCTACTCGTGTCTTGTATGTGGTATTCATATTAGAGAACATAAAAGAGCAGTATTTAAGGGAAGTTGGTACACATAATTTGTAGAGAGTAAGCTTAGTCTCTGTTGTGAAGAAATTTTTCGTTATGAAACCAATTAGCTGTCGAAATTTAGAAATAATTGAGGAGGCATGTTCTTCAAAGTTCAGGCTTCCTGTATAATTAATTCCTAGATTGTGTACTGTTTTGAGTGTCTGGACTCTACTGTTACTTAAGTTGCAGTTCATAGGGATGCTTTATAAAGTGTATGGTTACGCACTTGTTGAGGTTAAATGGTAATTGCCATTTTTCACTCCATATAGTTAGGTTACTAAGGTCATTTTGAATCAGGTATACACCTTCACTTAGAGTCTCAGGCTTATAGCTGTATACTATTTTGAGATCATCAGCATATAATTATGGTTTCCCAAATTTTATGTTGTTACATATATCTTTCATATAAATAAGAAAGTAGAGTAGACCTAATATGCTTCTCTGGATGACTCCACTACTTATTGGTCTAGGTGTCGTAGCGGTAAATAAATTCCCAAAATAAATAGCCCTGCAAGTTTTCAACATTGGATGCTGACCATATGTTTTAGTGGACTCATCTAGCTGAAGGCGCTCGGTCAGGCATCCGCACCAGATCACGTGTGGTAACGCCGTGCTCAACATCAACCGCAATCGCTAGCCAGATTAGATCAGAGAATTCCGATATATTGGTAATCGCCAAATACACTCTTCCGATCTCCTCGGCTCTGTCTTTTGATATAATAATAATAATAATAATAATAATTTATTCTCAAATAACAGTTTGTTACATGAGGCATGCCAGTTTACAGGCAAGATCAAATTGATACAAATGATACAATATACACTGTATTAAATTACATAGCTGGGTTGAAAATTTATAAGACATGAATGTAGATTGTTTTAATCAGTACTACAGTTGGCGCGCTTCACGAGAGTTGCGTTGCGAATGTGCGACTGACGATCAAGAATAGGTCCATTGAAGGTATGAGCTTCTAGAAATCGCAACCTTATGTCCCTTTGGGATATCCAAGGCTTTAAGGATGGTGCAGGATGATGTAACCTGTTCCATATCTCAAGGGAGAAGACTTTGTGGGTAGGTAGGTACAAATCATATTAGGTGTTACTGGTAGAAGCGTTGTCGAACACTGAATACCTGTGACATCATCATTGGTGAGACCGTCGTGATCTGGTACACCTTATTGCAACTGTGAGTCTGTTCCTTTTTGGGATTTTTATATATCATTGCCTTATTTTTTATTTTTTTAAACATTGTGATTTTTTTCGTGTTTTTCTTGGATATATATATATTTCCCCTCGTTCATTATCGTACTTCATATTTCATCATGACTGAACAGACACCTAAAGTACTCAAGCTTAAGACCTTGTCCCCACCTTCGTTTCAACTGATGCCTTTCTGGCCCGACAACATCGAAGCCTGGTTTTGCTACGCAGAAGCCGACTTCTCCGAGCACGGCGTGATCGACACACGTGCACAATTCCTCGCAGTAGTCAAGGCACTACCGCGCGAATTCAACAGGTACGTAACACCTAGTATGTTTACTAGTGATGTTTCCGATCCTTACGAAATCTTAAAACGCTCGATTCTTAAACGAGGAGACCTAACCGATCGACAAAGGTTAGATCAACTCTTCAATAACATCGACCTGCAACACGGTTCTGCGACAGACATGTTGCAACGGATGAGAGAGGTTATAGGCCCAAGAACTTTCGACGAAGGTCTATTCAAACAACTCTTCTTGTCAAAACTTCCCCAACAGGTGCAAGCAGTTCTGGTCTCGTTCCAGAACAACGCCTTAGACGAGCTAGCTGCATCTGCCGACCGCATTCTAGAAATTACGAAACCTTCTACTACCGAGGTATTTTCAGTCAAAGAAAAGCCTCACACGACTCAGAATGATATAACCGACTTATGTCACACACTCACGCGTTATCTTAGTCTTCGTACCGACCGTAAGAGATCGCGCACACCACGTAGAAGCATTTCTCGTAAGCGATCTGTCTCTAGACCACGAGAGACAGATAACCCCGACTGGTGCTGGTATCATAACCAGTATGGAAAGTTTTCCAGAAATTGCAGAAAACCCTGCAATTTTCCCAACACGAAACCGACTGATTCGAAAAACAATTCGGGAAACTTCCAAGCCGGCACGCGTTAACGGCAACCGTAGCCGGCGAACAAAGCCGTCTGTTATTCGTCACAGATGTGACAACGAGAGTTCGCTACCTCGTCGACACTGGCGCAGAAGTTAGCGTTCTCCCAGCAAATCCTAACGACCGACTTCACGAATCGACCCTAAACTTACAGGCGGCAAACGGAAAACCGATCGCTACGTATGGCAAAAGGTACGTTTACCTTAACGTGGGTTTACGCAAACCCATCCACTGGATTTTCGTCGTTGCAGATGTTTCTATGCCAATCATTGGTATGGACCTTCTACAACACCACAATCTGATCATCGACACTCGCAAACGGAGGCTAGTAGACGGAAACACTAATTTGTCCGTTTGCGTAACTTCTTTTACTGGTTGTAGAGTATCCCCAGTCACAGTTAAACATATGATAGACCCACTCTATCAACCACTACTCGATAAGTACCCTGGGATACAACAAACGCAACCGAAACTACCGTGTGTAACCAGCAATGTTACACATCACATCACGACTACAGGACCACCTGTATTTTCTAAAGCACGACGACTAGCTCCTGAAAAGCTAAGGTTAGCGAAAAACGAATTCGATCACATGATGGACTTAGGAATCATACGACCGTCAAGTAGCCCATATGCATCTCCGTTGCACATGGTC